AGCACTGCCTATGACTGAGTACCAAGTCATGAAGATCTAATGCAAAACCTGCGCAACAAAGTGTCCCTTGGAACCTAATGCACCTTAGAGAACATACACAAACAGCACGTGGGGGCTCTGACAGCTGTATGAATGCACTCAGCATTTTTTGGTGAAGGAAGAACACTTTATCAAGACATATTTCCTCATTATTTTTTGAACAGTCATTATTCTTTGCTTTAAAGCCGTTCAATAACGTTTTAGAGAGGATAGAAACAGCGATTCAGATATTGTTTCCTATGACTTTCCTTAGGCTGACTGACAGATTGACTTTGTGTCCTGGCTTTGAAGGTGTGCGTCTGTTTTGACATCCACCCTTGCTCTTTTTCCCCACCTCTTCCTTTTATTTTCTTTCTTTTTTACTCTTTTTGAGCCTCAACTAGCTTTCAGATTTAAACACTTTGCTTAAAAAAAGTCAAACCATTTACAATATATAATTGCTTGGCAAAGAATATGGAATTTTAATATCACCAATGTTTAAAAAATGTATTATAAGAGCTTTCATTTGAAAACAATTTCTGGTTTGGTTCATACGGAGTGCAGATGCATTTACAAGTATTGGCATACTTCAGAGATCTCTCCTTTAATATGTTGTCTAAGTACACATTTAATATGCTTGATTTTAACACTAAAAAGGCTACTTAAAAATATTACCCATTTGCAATTAGATGTCTCAATCCTCCAAACCAGATCTCCCCAACACCATTTTAAGTGCTTTGCACCTCTGCAATACAGCACTGCAGAGAAATACATTTACCTGCATTCTACTGAAGGTGAATGATTTGAAAAAAGTACACCAGGAACCTGTGCCTCCTCCCTAATTCATGCATATCAAATCGAATTCTGATGCAACAGAAAGATGTGTGGGAGGCAAAGAAATCTGGAGGTAAAAACATGGTCTACTGCATACCTCAGGCTGCACTGTATAGCCTACTCAGCCTTCATACAAATAAAAAATATAGTTTCAAAACTACATACACACTGGTTTTGCTATGTTGCATATGCACATGCTCGGGAACAAGCCAGAGGTAAACTACTATACTGCAATGATTTTCAAAGTCAAATTCATATCTTAATTCCATAGGATTTCATACACATAAGGATAGAGCAAACCTGAAGGAGAATCTTATCTTAGGAAGGGATTCTTATGTGTCCCTTCCAATTTGAGATATTCTACGATTCTATGAATCTTAAGATAATAAACCAGATATTTGCCTAGGATATCAAAAGAAAACATAAAATAGAAGCATTAAGAAGAGAGGAGGCAGGATATTCCAAAAGTTCCCAGCAGCTTTATGACCAGCAAGTTTTGAAAGAGAGGCTTTCCAACTATCTGGGTTCCTTTATAGCTGGCATGGCAGCAAGGGCATGGCGCAGCAGTTGATGCCCCAGCTGGCATGCAGGGAGGGCAGTGGAGCCCTGCCAGCTCGACCCTCAGGCCTGGGTTAAAGATGTGACAAGAAAACTTTCCACTACCCTCGTACAGCCCTCAGATGATTATCCATTATGGATTTTTCCGGTAGGCAGCATTGCAACAAGAAGTCCGAGGGCTAACAAGAGAGACTTCAGGTCCTTGGGACGACTGGTGGAGGGATCAGGAGCACAAGTAGTGTGCTCCTCTATCCTTCCCGTTGCAGGGAACAATGAGGAAAGAAACAGGAGGACCCACCAGATCAATACCTGGCTCCGAGCCTGGTGCCACCGGCAGAATTTTGGGTTTTTTCATCATGGGTCAGTTTACATGACACTAGGCCTGCTGGCAACAGATGGGGTACGCCTGTCTCAAACAGGGAAAAGTATCTTTGCCCAGGAGTTTGTGGGGCTCATTGAAAGAGCTTTAAACTAGATTTGAAGGGGGAAAGGGAGAAAACCAGACTCGCTATAGATAATCCTGGGGGTAGCACACCAATGTTTGAGTAATGGTGAGACAGTGAGGTCCTTCAGACTACTGTCTCAGTGGAGATAGGGTATGGAGATTCACGTGGCTGCAAAGACGCAGGGCTTATTGATGTGTTAGAAACCACAGAAGCACCTGAGAATGATCATATAGGAATTAGGACCTTCTTTGCCTCAGTCTTTGATGGTAAGACCAGTTGTTCTCTGGGTATCCAGATGCCTGAGCTGGAAGACAGGGATGGGGAGCAGAATGAAGCACCCACAATCCAAGAGGAAGTGGTTAGTGACATGCTACACCACTTAGGCACACACAGGCCTATGGGGCCTGATGGGAGCTACCCCAGCATACTAAGGAAGCTGCTGGAAGTGCTCACCAAGCCACTTTCAATCATTTACTAGCAGTCCTGCCTAACTGGGGAGGTCTCGATTGATTGGAGATTAGAAAATGTGACGCCCATCTATAAGAGGGGCCAGAAGGAGCGTCTGGGGAACTACAGGCCTGTCAGCCTGACCTCGGTGCTGGGAAAGGTTATGAAGCAGATCATCTTGAGCATCATCACGCAGCACATACAGGACAACCAGGTGATCAGGTCCAGTCAGCATGGGTTTATGAAAGGCAAGTCCTGCTTGACTAACCTGATCTATGACGAAGTGACCCACTTAATGGATGAGGGCAAGGCTGTGGATGCTGTCTACCTAGGCTTTAGTAAAGCCTTTGACACCGTTTCCCATAGCATTCTCCTGGAGAAACTGGATGCTCATGGATTGGACAAGTGTACTCTTTGCGGGGTAAAAAACTGGCTGGCTGGCCAGGCCCAAAGAGTGGTGGTGAATAAATCCAGCTGCCGGCTGGTCACAAGTGGTGTTCCCCAGGGCTCAGTATTTGGGCCAGTTCTATTTAACAGGGGATCAAGTGCATCCTCAGTAAATTTGCAGATGACACCAAGTTGGGTGGGAGCATTGATCTGCTCGAGGTTAGGAAGGTTCCACACAGGGAGCTGGACAGGCTGGGTCGATGGGCTGATGCCAACTGTGTGAGGCTTAACAAGGCCAAGCGCTGGGTCTTGGGGATGGGCTCAGTATTTGGGCCAGTTCTATTTAACAGGGGATCAAGTGCATCCTCAGTAAATTTGCAGATGACACCAAGTTGGGTGGGAGCATTGATCTGCTCGAGGTTAGGAAGGTTCCACACAGGGAGCTGGACAGGCTGGGTCGATGGGCTGATGCCAACTGTGTGAGGCTTAACAAGGCCAAGCGCTGGGTCTTGGGGATGAGCGACTGGAAGCCACTCGGCAGAAAACAACCTGGGGGTGTTGTTCAGCTGGCTGTCGACCATGAGCCAGTCAGTGTACCCAGGTGGCCAAGGTGGCCAACAGCATCCTGGCCTGTATTAGAAATAGTTTGGCCAGCAGGACCAGGGAGGTGATCATGTCCCTGTACTCAGCACTGATGAGGCCACACCTTGAATCCTGTGCCCAGTTTTGGGCCCCTCACTACAAGACAGACATTGAGGTGTTGGAGCATATCCAAAGAAGGGCAGCAAAGCTGGTCAAGTGTCTAGAGCACAAGTCTTATGAGGAGCGGCTGAGGGAACTGGGTTTATTTAGCCTGGAGAAAAGGTGGCTGAGGAAAGATCTTGTCTCTCTCTACAACCACCTGAAAGGAGGCTGTAGCGAGGTGGGGGTCAGTCTCTTCTCCCAAGTAAGAAGTGATTGGATAAGAGGAAATGGCCTCAAGTTGTGCCAGGGGAGGTTTAGATTGGATATTAGTAAGAATTTAATTACTGAAATGGCTGTCAAGCATTGGAACAGGCTGCCCAAGGAAGTGGTGGAGTCACTATCCCTAGAGGTATTTAAGACAAATAGATGTGGTGCTTAGGGACGTAGTTTAGTGGTGGGCTTGGCAGTGCCAGGTTAACGGTTGGACTTGATGATCTTAAAGGTCTTTTCCAACCTAAATGGTTCTATGATTCTACAATTCTATAAAATTTTAAACTACGTTCAAGATGCAGAGGTCAAGAATGTAGTTACCAAGCCAAGGTTTTTCTTGATTTATTCTGAAAACTCCATTCCTCAGCATCCTGAATCATGGCAAAAGCTTCCGTACAATTTTAGGAATAGGAGTGAAATTTGACCAACCCAGGTTTGATAAACTGGGTTTAATTTAAGTACTGTCCATAAAACACTCTCAAGCTGAAAGAGCACTAAGTGCTAAGTATTGATTACCACTTGTCCTGTGCTATAGAACCAAACTGATGGAATCATCTGATGGGATCATTATTTATTATGCAGTTTTACACAAAAACATAATAGAGTAGCTTAATGGCATGGCTTGAAATGACTTAGATCCAGACCCTGTGACTCACTCACATGTTAATGCAAATAAATGCAGAATTCCCAACAGGTTCAGAGTCTCCTTAAATGGTGCTTTCATTTAATGGGAACTAAACAAGAAAATGGAGAGATTCTGGGACCTCTGCAAATCCAGCGCTTCTGCCTGCTTCCACCACAGTACACTGCCCCATCTGCCAGCAGCAAGGGAAGCTGTGCTCCAAGATACGGATGGTCTGTATTTTAGCAACAACAACAAAATGTTCTTGGATTTCTCATCAGACATATGACATTTAACTCGTCACGATTCAAAAAGATTAAGATTAATAAAAAGGTAACATGAATGTTACCTTTTATGAAATGAGTACCACCTTTTCAGGCTACAACAAGTGCAGTGTTCAAACAGGATGTGCACATACTCTACTCCAGGAAAAGCCCACCTCACCGATGATTTGCAAGCCTCAGGCACGAGGTTTTCTTCTTGATTCCTAAAAACTCAATACCAGGTACCCAGATATTAGCATACATAGATGGACATACACATCTGCTATGCACAGGAAATACAACTGTTTATGTAATTCACCATCTAGTCCAACGATGGGGGTTGGACTAGATGATCCCTGAAGGTCCCTTCCAACCCAAACCATTCTGTGATATACCATACCCAGGCAAGTACCAGTACAGCCATTTATCACGACACAACAAGTACTATGAACCCAATACAGTACTAGCTACCTGTTTTAGACAGTTTGCCGGTACTTCTGTTACTTGATGAGCTATCTCCTCTTGTCAGGACGGTTATCCCACCAAAACTGGCTGTCTTTGTTATGGCTGGCTTCAAATTTCGATTTGAGCTGTCTGAGTCTGTGCTGCTCCATGGCCTCTGGTGGTCTGTCCACTTCAATTCGTTCTCCGTACTGCTCTGTCGACTGCCAGATGCCTTCCCCATGCTGTCTCTGTTACCCCTACGGACATCAGGGAACAAAGATTTATACACAAACAAACCCATGTCAGGGCAGAGTCTATCTTTGGGTAACCTTCAGCGAGCCTAATAAAGAAAAAAGGAAATACTCTGCATTTACAAAAGCATGCCTGAAACAGGGCATTTGACTCCCGTCCTCATACGCCTTCAGCATATAAACACTGCTACATCCTTTTACATGCGTAGCACTTACCACTGCTTCCCTTTTGTATATATCTTAAGACCACTTCACCAGAGGGGGCTAATGTAGCAATATTACGCAGTACTGATGTAGCAGTTCTGTTGCCTGTTGACCGGTCTCTTCCCTTGGCAAACCCTTCACTACTTCTCCCTTTACTGTCCACCAACTGTAATGTTTTTCTCAGTAACTTCACCTGCCCTCTGCCTTTATCTTCATATCCATCCTCCTTATTTTTATTGCACCTTGTCCCCACTCATCATCTGCTCTAAAGTCATCCAAAGCCTTCCCCTAAAGATGGGTCCACCCAGCATGACCCCAAAACCTCTTCAGTGCTAATGATCCACTTAGAGACCCACTAGTTGGGGTTTTTTTGGTTTTCCCTGCCTCCCCTCTGCATACAATAATTGCAAAAATCTCTGGGTAGAGACTGCCTGTCCTTGAACAGCTGCGGAGCACCCAGTACACTGTGAGTAACACCACAGTAAACTGTGAGTAGAATTTGGATGAGAATTTGGCTTATTTATGGTGAACCGCTTACAACGTGCTGCTAAAATGACAAAAACAGCATGCCTACCACAGCTTAGTGCACCACAATTGTTATCCCAAGTGATGCTAGTAACACTGGCTTTTGTAAGGCTTTTAGAAGACATTTTCCACTCCTCTGTCTTATTTTACAGTATAATACCTTTCAGGCTCAAAGCTCTTTCTACAAATCAAAAGGATGTGACCTGTATCTTTTTTTTTTTTTTTTTGGCCCCCTTTCTCCTTGTGAACATGGCTCCTGCTTTTTATTTGGAGAACCTGCCAAGCTGTGTCACTTGTGACATGAAGGAGCAGCGTGTCAAAAATGGGATCAGGATGGTATGTTCCTTGCCTGTGATCAGAGCCTCTCAGAGATGGGATCAGCAGTATTAACCTGTTGACCTTTGCTAGACCCAGACAGTGGGAAAGCATGAAGAGCAATAGCACAGAACCAACAACATAAAAAAAAAAGGAAAAAGATTTTTAAAAACCCCTGTCCTTAAGATTTAATTGGAAAGAAAAAAACCCCAAAGTATATTATTTACAGACACTTTTGCATGCTTGCGCTGAGAAAGTAACGGTTCTCTTATACTCTAGCGGAAAAGACAGAGAGAAACAGAATGCTTTTGTACCCCGGTTACTGTGTAACCCAGTATTTAGGTTACACAAAATTCCTTTTTGTTCCCCAAATCCAAACAGATATTAGTTATTAAGAGTGTCTGTGTGTAAGTTGCCTCCTTACTCCTGCATGCCCAATCCAAGACTCTCAAACCATCAAGGCGAGCCTGTAGCATGGAGAAAAGTTTTTCTGCCTGCATCCCTGGGAGCAGCTCCAGATGCACCAGCACTGTTCCTCATCTGGTGCAGTCTCACCATCTCCTCCATGTCTGCTGTGATGACATGCACAGCCAACAATCACGTGTCAAATAATCCCACATCCTTTTCTCATAATGAAATATTATGTAATATAGCTGATATAGGTTTGAAGTGACACAAAATATCACTGTTACATATGCAAACCCCAAAGCATACAGACATCTAGAGATCAACCTACGTCTACCTAGCTATTCACGTGCCTTACTGAATTAAGGACATGCTTCTGAATGCATCCATTACTTCTGCCTGCTCTGCTTAAGACTTGTGGCAGCTGGCAGACTTTGAAAGCAGCTTGGCATGCTCAACTCTGGTTGATTTGAACTGATCCTGTGGGAGCTCATGGTGTGGGAAGAGGGCCTGTCTAAGCCTCTCAGAGGAACACTGTCACCACCAGGTTAGGTATTCCACTGATCCAGTTCGTCAACTGATAAAAAAGCCCTCCATGAAAATAGAGACTGACTCCTACTGATTTCCTGTGGCTTAGGACGCAATTTGGGATACATCTTAGTATTCCCTCTACAGAAGAAACTGGAGTTTAGGAGACAAAGTTCACAGAGAAAAGGTTTCAAAATACTGCTGCTTGAGATAAGGGAACTTCAATCAGCTTCACCGCATCCTACTTTTACTCCACCTTTTAATAAACCAATGAAAGGAAAAGAGGTCAGTCTGGGCACTAGTCTATGAAACACGTCTGTGGTATATACTAGAGCAAAACGAACTTCCACCAGTCACAATCACCCCCAAGCTGTGGCAGTCCAAGTAGCTAGGCAGCTGAAAAATCTCAGATGGTTCCTGAGTCAATGATCCATAAAACCAAAAGGAAGGCGTGCTGTTGTGACCTCCCCATTCAGAAGGCATGGGATGAGTGGGGTAAGAACTCTGTTCTCCATGCTTCTTTCCAACCAGAAAAAAGACATACCCACACCCTTCAAGGTCTCCCTTGGCGAGGACACTGATAGAATCATGAGTGAGTGTTACTGGAAAATGAATATTAAATAAAGTCATACAAACCTAAACAGCTGTCTTTTCTTATGGGTGTCATTGCATATACTATTGTCTTCCAACAGCCTACTGAAAAACGAAAAGAAAGATTATGGTAACAGACATAATTCAAATTTATCTCATCTGTAAAGCTATATTTAATTTCTAGCAACATCTTCCAATGTCCTCTAGATTCATAGTTTAAAAAAAACAAGGCTAAAATTGCCCCCCCTCTCTCCCCCATAACTGTACACAGTCAACCGAACATAAGAGATGTCAGCCAGGGAGGCTGAAGGCCATTTAACATTTCCTGTTACTGAGCAAGGTAATTCTTGGAAGCCGAGAAACCATACATCTACCTCCAAAAGAAAATTCATAAAAATATCACCTAATAAGAACACAAAAAATGCAAGCCAGCAAAATACTGTATATATAATTTTAAGCGCTTGCTAAGTCGTTGGAAATCTCTGCAGCTCAGAGGAATGCTCAGGTTCTCTGATAAAAAAGGAAGGCAAAGCATCTAAATACCTAACTTTCCACAGCAAATCAACAAATTGCTCATGTGCACAGACCTAAGCACAAGTTTAAGTGCTTCACCTGTAAGGCATGTTAGGCACGCAGCAAGAAAAATCAGTGTTCTGAGGAATGCAGCTGAAGTCTCCCTCCTGACAACACCACTTGGGTATGCATCCTCACACCAGGAAAGCTGGTCAGCCAGCTCACAGGTTCGAGCAAGGCATTGCAAACATCAGAACTGGCCACATTCTCCTGCATGCCACTGTGGGATTGAATGCATAAGCCACTGGAGGTCTGGCTGTGAAGTTCATGGTTTATCCCATACAGATCCCCACCCTACCCCTAGCAGCGCAGTGTCTGAGCGCTTTCCATGCTGACGGGAACGTGAACAACTACATCATGTTTATTGTCCCAACCTCTCCAGAGAGATAAAAGTAAGTTTATGGGAGCATCTGCTTTTTGGATTCCTCTGTTGCATTTTTTAAATTTATCTTGATAAAACATATTTCCATAGTCGCGATACAGAAGAAGCAGCTCAGCAAATACCCTTGGCTCTCCTGAATACAAAGTTGTTAGATGACAGTGGCCATTACAGTATCAACTACCTCCTGAGATATTTCCCTCATTCCACTTCCATCAGAAAAGCTGGTTTGTACCATTACTGTGGAGTCATTTTCTGTGGGAATAGCCTTACCCATAAATGCAGCTGACAGATGCAAGGACGGACAGATAGAAATAGTGAGAAAGACAACTTCTCTTTCTTTAAGGGGAGATAAACATTTTTAAAACTTGCACAAGACAGACTTGGGGTAGCGCTGCTCAAACACTCATCAGTGAAATTCCCAGCATTTTCTTTAAAATCCTCACCTGCCATAAAGGTGCACAATTTCTAACATTTTCAACACAAACACTCACCAGTGAAATTCCCAGCATTTTCTTTAAAATCCTCACCTGCCATAAAGGTGCACAATTTCTAACATTTTCAACACAGATAAGCTAATTTATGGCTGTTATGGAGCTAACACTTTATATTTTGTAGATTTTAAACACAGTTTCTTCTTCCCTTTACTTTAAGGGGTTTATAATAAAAAGAACATCCATAAGAACTATCACACAGTGATGCAAAGTAACGGTTGGCTCAGATATCACCATTTCATTACTACAAGGCAGCAGTAAAGCAAGTCTGGTCTGGAGGACTTGTGAGCTTTCACAAGCAACAAGTGAAGTTAGTGCTGCTGCTCAGACCCACAGAAGGGCAGATTAAACAACAGAGTCACAATGTGGTGTTTCATAAATACTATCATCCAGCCACTGCTAGAGTGCTTTTTAAAGATCAGTAGGTTAAATTCTAAAGGCACTCCAGAGACAAATTGGTCATTTGAAACAAAACCTTAGGTGGGCTCCCCCTCTCTCCCACAACCTGCTTTTTAAAATGAAATGCAAACTCTTGGGAAAGCAGCAGTAATACATTATCTGCTCAGATAAAATACTGCAAGGCAATCTCTTCACATCCCCCCCGCCCCCCCCTTAAAGCACAAAACCTCTGCAGATAATATCACAAATTTGTTTGACAGTCTTCGCATTAGGATAAAAAAAACTATAGAACTACAGATACACAAAATAATATAAGAAACAGCTAAGTTTAACACAAACAAAATAAGCTATTTTTTACCTGTTTTCCACAAAAAGGTTTTCCTGGGAGCAAACTGACTGAAAAATAAAAAAGGCATTGTATCAGACGTTCTAGATATGCTCTGCTGTTCCAATTCCTTCCTTGATTTTAGAATTACCTCCCCTGTTCAGGCTGAAGGGGATTTCAATTCATGCACCATTTGCATTTGCAGAAGACAAGAGGGGAAAAAAGGTCAAGAATAAGGTCAGGCCAGTAAAATAAATTCCATGCATTACAACACATTGCCAGCAAGGGGTCTCAGTTTGGAAACAAACTGAAACTTCTTAGTCCTGAGATCAGAAGAAGGCAGTATGTGCAAAATACTGGCAATTTAAAGGGGAAAAATATTTTTCCTACATAATATAAGGTTCCACTGGTCTGCCCTACCACCTCAAAATAAGATTGCAGAATGGCAAAGAGCTGCAGGTAGGAAGAACAAACAGGAGGAAAGCATGCAGAATTGACAAAGTTCTTCAAAGGGAGAGAAGTTACTGCAGTTCTTAGAAATACTGTGTGATTTCACATTTTACAGTGGGAGGGGAAACAGTCATACCCACATTGAGATATAAAATGATGATAATCATCTTAATAATAATATTAATAACAATAATAGTCTATTGCAAAATGGTTCTCCGCTGGAGGACTCAGATCCCTAGAAAGGTGAAGGGCTCAGAAGAAATAAATCCTATAGGCAAGTGCATAATTCTTTTAGCATTACTTAATTTTTTATGCAGAGAAATGAAGCTGTGCTCAATTTTCCATGAATAATTCTCCCTCTTTGATTTTTTCATTTCCCTCCTGTTTCATGTTCACTACACAAAGTGCCTTGTAGCTGTCACTGGATTATATCTCTATGAGGTACAGAAGAAAGGATAGGCAGTACTTGCACTGAATTTAAACAAAAGGCAGGCAAAGGGAGAAGGGCACCAAAGATCATGCCCATTACTTCTGTAACAACGTGACTCAGCTCAAAGAATAACACAACGCCATCGTTAGCTGTGTCAAATTTTAATGCTATGGGATACGCACAGATCTGGGATGCTTATGTTTTGAAAAGGGTGAGCTAATGGCCTACTCAAAAAGTGCTGGCCAACAACAGGAGTAACACCCTGTTCATTCCCAGTGCTCCAGCAGACGCATAGGCAAAGTTTTCCCTTGGCACCAGAGCCAGTGCCATCCCATCAATTTATACAAGGAAGGAATTTAGCCCTGAGAAGGCAATGGGGTTTCTCGTTAAAGCTGTAATCCACTCACCCAGCACCCACATCAGGGAACATCTGACAGCTCCGTGGGACTCCCAGGCAAGCTCCCACCCTGCACTAATACCGAACATGCAAGGCTCTGAGCTGCATCAGTGGCAAGCATGTCTCTCCTTAGCACAAAGCCTCAGGATATCAGGAGCAAGCTCTCCATTGCCAGGGACCAAATTCCCACTAGCTACAACACACCTAGGGTTTCACCCCAGGCCAAGAGGAGACACAAACTGTTCCACCTAAAACCACCAGGACCCTTTGTACAACTAAAACACTACTTCTTCTCTCATTTTACGTACCTCACTCACAAGGTCTCATTAACAAATGTGACCGTGAAGACTTCAGCATAGTTTAACTACTTAGGAGCATAGTGAAATCACCCCATGGGCTTCTACAACCTCAACTGTGGGGTTGTGTCTTCACTTTGAGGTTCCTGATAGGCATTTGTGCATTGACTCCACTGCAGTCACATCTCCAAAGCAGCGTTATAGCTACTCTTCCAGAATAAGTGAGTAAAAACCTTTGCTTAGACCAAAGTACTGGTCTGTGTCCCCATACAGTTACAAAAGCAAAGGGGCATGTGCCTGTCTGGATTTTTTTTTTAAAAAAAATATTTTATTTTTTCAATTTTTTAAAGAGACTGGGGCATAAAGCAGAACAATATCTGGGATTTATATTTTATCAAGCAAGTGGAGAGATCTGCTCCCTTTTCAATGTCTTGATGGGAACCACTATTGACTACATGACAGACTTAAAGACAGAGTCCATAATAACTCCATTTGTCCTCCTGGCTGATGGTGCTGGCACAGGGCCACAATCCCTGGAAACTTTTTCAGTACAGGTGTGAGGCTGAAAGGCAGAGAAGACAGGCTCTTTTTTATTAAGTTATTCTTACTGTTAAAAAATCAGATGGCTAAGCAGCTCTGGACAGCAATTTAGCTACTACAAGGTCAAGATCCACTTTCCTGATCTATAGCATCAATAATGCTCAATTTAAAGCACCAGGAAAGCTTAAGTACACAGCACAGCTTTAAAGCACCAGGAAAGCTTAAGTACACAGCACAGCTGTTGTCAAAAACATTCTCAAAACACTTGGCTCTTGTACACTCAAAGACACAGACAAAAAAACCTACAAAAGCAAAAAAGTTATGTAAGATTACCTACAAATTTGCCTCCTCAGAGACCTCTGCATGCAACATTTCCATTAGGGTGCTCTGTATCACTAATTGTCATCTTTGAAACGAATATTTCACTCTTCCAATTCCCCAGAACTTTTTTAACTTGTCAACTGGAAAACCTGCATCAGTTCTGCCAGTGCACTAGGTATACTGGTGGTTGCTGCTCTTGTTCTTAATTACATTAGCCAACATAGATATCTATTAACATGCACCAATATCCCGCAGTGGATACCATCAGGTAATCATTTTCACATCAGTTAACAAGACATGATAGATTTCAGGCTTCCAACTAATGCTTATTGCTTGATCTGCAGCCAGAAACAAAGGTTCTGTATAGCAGCATAGGAGTTTTAGTATCTGCGGGTTTATGGTAGCCAACAAGGCACACCTTTGTTTTGTTTTTATTAATTTTAAACCCTCTTCCTAATATTTTCTGACTAGAAGGACAGGACAGGTTGAAGCCATCTTTCAAATATTTCCTCCATGACCCTCTTGAATCACAGAGTGATAAAGATCCTCAGCATTTTCTTAAGTAGAGCAATCATTACTCATTTTATCGAAAGGATCTGGCTCTTCAGAATACACTCCTTAGTCAAAAATAGCCATTACAATTAACAACAGAAAATAAAAAGTATGATGTATTTCCTTTAATAAGCTCTATGTGTACCATGGGCAAATCTAGCATTTGTGCAAGTGATAAAAAGCATCTACATTTTCCATTAAATACATAATGATTACTAGAGAATACATTTATGAACAATGGATGGTCCTTACATGATTCTGGCTCATGAGGTCATACGTTGCGTTAACCTTGAAGAATGAAATTTCCCCCACATAATTTGATTGCTAGTCTTTAGAATCAATTTTCTGCATGCTTAAAAGCCAAATGTAGTGTACCATTTACACATGCATTTGGGTGTCTCAGTTAAACCTACAATTTGAATTAATGCACAGTGAAAGAACATACACTTCTTTTAATTCTTTTAGATTGTCTTTCTTGGAGAATTACTTTTTAATCTGCTAAAAGCAACTAAAGCAGTTGAGACAAGAAACAACTTCTTTGCAAGACCCAGATACTCCAGGTCCTTTGCTTCAGTGCACTTGGTTGTAAAATTCACAAATTGTTCTAAAACTAAGTTTCCAATAAAAACAGGTTTTAAAATGGAATGTTGTAGGCTTTGCAATTAAAAAATGAACTGGAAAATAGCTTTGAGCATAACAGAACTCATTCAGTGTTGTTTTACTGTCAGTAGCCTGAAAAGTTGCAGGTGCACTTTGTAGTTCCTACTTCAGTGAGCTGGAACAATCATGTTTATTAACTATTTATTTCTTCATCAATCCTTTTATTAATACATGACATTAACATGCCTCTTAATCCCTGCCACTCTTGCTAATGACAGAAGTCATTAAAAACTCCAGCTCCCCTTGTCAAAATTTATGATAGTCAACACAGCAGATAGAAAACTTGCCAGAAAGTATAAATTATACTGACCAATATCAGTCTATTCATCATAAGGACTATCATAACGATGGCATTATTCATGAACATATTTATTTTTTTTAAACCTTCCCATCTGGAAGTGAAGATATCTGGCACACTAGAGCGCTGCAAAATCAAAGTAAGGACAAGCAAGTTTTCTGTTGGCTGGTATGTTGGGTCCAGGTTAAGACGTTTTTCACAGCACTTGAAACATGCACAGAATTTTTTGCCCCTGTAACCAGACTGCCTTTTCCTCCTAAATTTTGTTCAAAGTTCTGACTCTTGGGCTGATATGTTACCCAAAAGGTTTTGGGTACCTTAAACATGTTTAGAGTGGGGGTACAATGTGCAACAAGTTACAGCAGTACACTTGACCTTCAAGGCTGCCCTTTGGAGGCCTCTTGTGCAAGCTCTCTTCATGCATACTCTAATTAGAAGTGAAGTATCTATAATCCATTTGCTAAAGCTCATAAGCAAGGCACTGATAAAGGCTTGACTACAGTAATGTAAACAGTAGAGATAATAAAAATTATTATTGATTATACCTCCCTGTCTCTCTTTTTACACCTGTAATTTACACGATGACAAGGCATAAGTACCTACCTCAGAGAAACCTGGGGAGGATTGCAGAGAGCTTCAAAACTATTAAATCTTACACAAAGTAAGTGGCTACCTATAAGAAGCCATTACTCTCTTTCCTAAAATTGAAAAAAATTACATTGTCCACAACCACTGACATCATCCAACACCTCAATACCTGTGAGGAGTGCTCCACTCAAAAAAGCTCAGCTAAGACATATATTCCTGTTAATAATATTAGTACAGCTCACTGAAATTCACTGCACTACGATGCTCACTAACACATGCAATAGCAGAGAGAGAGAGCAAATGAGTGGATATGAGAGAGAGAGGGAGAGATATCTAACGTTGCTGACCTTTAGAAATGCTCACTCCCAATCCATTTAAAGTGCCTGCCACAAACCACACTGTTACTTAGGTCTCGCCACTCGGGAGATGCTAACTCAATGGTCCACAACAACCTCCTGCTCTGGGCAATTAAAGTTCTCACTGCTTGCCTGTCTTTAAAACTCATCTATCTAAAGACAAAACCAGCAGTACATTGTGGAGCGAGTTTCAGCACACTTTTCCAGCCACCTCCGTTTCCCTGGCCTCTCTAGCTGCTGCTTGTGATAAAAACTGCATCATTTTAGCAACAACTTTCCAGGCGGTATTTTTAAACAACATTTTGCCTCATCTGAAGTCTACTTCAAAACTCAAATATTTTTTTATTTTGCTCAAGCTCCTTTGTAATAAGCCAGCAACAGCAACTTTCATAACTCTATGTATATGGTAACTCTACCATATATACTGTGACAGCGCTTACATCAGACCCATAGGCTGAAAGTAAAACGTAAACCAAATTACTTATCACAAGCTAGACAGCTTACACCTTAAAACTATACAATCTATTCTGCTAAAGAATAATAACTTGGATGTGTGTAACTCCAAAACCAGAGCAAAATAAAATGGTATCTAAAATAATACTACTAGCCCTGCAACATATGAAGTTTTAATTTAAAAGGACACTGCCAAATACGATTTTCAGTAATAGTTTTAAATTGGGTTTATTCCCATATTCCTCTAAGTGGCAGAGCTCCCACTGAGATGCAAGATAAAACAAAAAAAAGGGTTGACTTTCTTCTTTTTTTCCTTTTAGGATCTCATCATTACAGTATTATAGCAAATGATTTTATTCTTTTTTCAGGAACATGAGGTATTGCTCACAGATGTTTTCTATTTAAATGTTTTCCTCTGGCAACGCAGCCTATTGTGCAAGTTCTGATGTTTTGGTAAAGGCACAAATTATAATGCCTATTTCATTTTATTCCTTTCAGAATAAAATCATCAACAATGTGCCGACTGATGGCAGAAATACAGTCTCTTAATCAGTCATTTCAAAAAACCCACACAACTCCATGTTTTATCTCTGCCTTTTCTTTGTTCTTAGTGTTTTACTGCTGCACCACTGGTCCAAAGAAACAAAACCATGAGGAGTCTCTGCAGAACACTTAGAAAATTTCATCCAGCTCAAAACAAATACGAAATAACACAGCTATTTGAAATTATTGAGAGTGTCCATTTAAATCACTGTCCTTTGGTTGGCAAAAGAGAAGGAAAAACAGAAGAAAGCTAGATCACACAAACATGAACATTCAAAGAAACAGGATAAGCACTCCCCAGACAACATGCTGGGCCTGATCTCTCCCCTAACCCTTCTCCCTTCTCTGCAACTCTCATCACCTCCTCCAGAAGTTAACCTCCACAGCTCTCAAGCTCCTCTCAGACCCTCTGCATCAATTGCCCTTCCCTGTTGCCTCCAGCTCCACAAGGCAAGTCCAGCTGCGGTATTCATGTTGGAGGGGGGCAAGACTGTCTGACTACCGGCAAAGGTATGGCACTAAAGAGGCAATTAAAACAACTACTCACATCTTGTGCAAATATTCTCTCCCTCACTCTCTGATACTCCTCTTCTCTCTCTTCAATTGATTTACTTCGTCTGTCATCTCTAAATGGAAGAACTCTGTTTTGCTGAGCAGAAAGAAAACCAGGAGGGTTATATAAGTTGAGCTGTTAAAAACTGACATTAAGTAACTGTCAGCTGAGAATAATAAATGTTCACTTAAACAAATGAAGCATGAAAACGATAGCTGTCGTTCCTGCACGATACGCCCTGCGAGGCTGGCCACCTGAAGCTTTCCAGTTAAGATATTGCACATGGGTTCGTAGAGCAGGTGGCTGAAATGAGGCTTTCTGCACGGCTTTTGTGGACCCATCATCCTAAAATTGGGTGTTCTCACCCCAAGCCTAAGTGCCATTGCTCTCAACTGCTAAGATTTCTTGACTCTCCTACCAACTGCGAGGAGGAGGGGGGCAGGTAAAGCTGCACTACCTATGAAATCAAGGAAGAAGAGGGAAACTAGACTGAAAGAGCTTAACAACAAACCCTAGAAGAAACCCACCAAAGTCTATGTGTACAAGGAGGAGAAGTCACAAATATTTGGCACGACAGTTTTAACTGTTTCCACAACATAAGAAACCCTCGAGTTCAGTTTCACTGGGAAAAGAAGGGCCATTTGTGCCTCACGGTATACTGCAGTGCAGGAAATGGTTGTGCCATGACAGGAAGGAGAGAGAAGAGGACTCCCAGCAAGAAATGCTTCATTGGCAATTGGGTTTCAAGTACTGCTCCTTCTCCCCCTGCAACCCAGCACCTGGTGAGGTAAGTCATGCTGCTTTCCTCTGGCTGATCCCTGTGTTCACCACACCCTGAAAATGCTTGGGGCTTGTTTTCCAAGCCAACTCAGATGCAGCATAGCTGGCCAGGCTGCTATGTGCAACTGAAAGTCAAGGGAAAAAAAGGGGGAAAAAAAAGAAAAAAGAAAGGGAAACAATTAGTCCTCTACTGAAAACATGAACGAGAGTGGCAACGAGAGACTCACTAGCAGGTCTTTCCGCAAATATAACCTAAGCAAAGAAAGCATATGCTGTCTTCTTACCTGTGAGAATTTTCTCATAAAAGCAATTCATGTCAGAACCCTTTTTGATTTTTTCTTTTTTGTTAATATATTCCACATACACAGCTTGCACGGGATTGAAACAGCACAACACCCGCTTTTAAAGGCAGCACAAAACACACACATTTCCCTGGCGCTCCCCTACTCATTGGGCTCACCTAAGGTAAGGTAGTGTTATGGCACAGGCAACATAGAGGGGGAACGTCTGCCACAGCACATGCAAAACAAGCAAGTTACACAGACAGTAAAAGTCGGTGAAGGCACAGGAAGAGGGAGGGAACTAAAAGATGAAACTGATTCATTTCTGGTCAAAACTCAATTTAGGATGGTTTTAAAAAAAAAAAAAAATCAACCCAGCCTCACCATCACATGTTTGTTTGGGGCTTTTTTTTTTTTTTTTTTTTTTTTTTTTTTTTTCTGTGTCCTTTTTGGGCTACGTCAGTTTATCATTGGTCCATACTGAAATCCAGCTCTGAAAGGCTACAACGGAAGGAGGAAGCTGTAGGGAGCAGAACAACTGCCATAGTTAGGTGAGACACTGAGAAATGCGACTGACACAGCCTTCCACGCAGCCTGGAGCCACCGGCATTCCCCCTCCCGTGGGCATGCAGCAAGTCCTGCGCCAAGCAAACCACCCATGCAAACCCACACACTGCCACGGCTGAAGCGGCCACGCCGGGGCTCGATGCTACCCACAGTGGTACGTACGCCAAGGGAGGCGGGGAGTGGGGCAGCAGGGCAGGGGAGGATGAGAGCAACAACAAAAGAACAACAATAACATCAGTCAGCCCACCTTCAAAAACAGAACAAACTTCAGCAACTCTCGAACCGAGAACCAACCTGATTGTCTTCTTTATCAATACTAGAGTTATCTCGCTTCAAGATAAATCGCTTCTGGGATTCTTCACCTTTTTCATCTTTTAAATGTTCAGAAAACCTTTGCTCTGGTCTGCCAGCAAAGTAAAACATAGCAATAAAAAAATCTTTCTTTTGGTTTTGCTTTGAACTTTATTTCTCAGTGCTCTTTGTTTTCACAGAGGCATTTAGTGCAAAAGCAGTTAACATTTGTGGTCATGGTGAGATGCTGCCTATAGCTCTCTGAGGCTGCTGCATCGCTGCGAACTGTTATTGCTATAAATAGCTTTTGTTGTTGTGTAGCAAGGAGCGAGAATCCAAAGTCTCAGTCACTGAAATATTTAGACTCTCCTCACTGTGACTGAAGGACAGGGAAAACAAATTAACATACTATATGTTAATTTGCTTCCTTCAGTAGCTGTGACCTCCAGCAACACCGCTGCTTAGTGAAGCCTATCCACCTTTAAAAGGAAGGAAAAACTGACAGAAATCTTTAAAACAAAACCAAGAGTTCCCCTCTCCTATTAAACAAAGCCAGTAAGGGGAGGGACTGATGTTTTTTTGCCTAAATAAAATATTATCTCACCACCATTAAGTGGGGAAAATACTCCAGAACGATCACAAAGTATTGATTAGTTCACCAATTTAAACCCATCCAGACACTTATTTATTTTTAAAAGCCAGACCCCACTGTTCAAGAGCTCAACATTTTCAGGTTCGTAAACTGGTAGGATGATGTTCCACATTCTCACCTTGCATAAAAAGCAAATTTTAAGAAGCATCTCATGTCACTGAGCTGGTCACTGCCAATGCCTCGTAGCTGTGAACAAATAACACTCCAGCCCACACCACTCCCAGACCCAAACCCATACTGATTCAAGCCCCACCGATGTCAACAGGGTGACCAACGTCCTTGAGAACTGAGCTGGGATTCATACGCTGCTATCACCCAACTGAGGAGCTGCCAACGCACAAGCTGTTTTTTAAAAGCAGTAACACACTGTGTCACACCGCGAGGTTTCTATCAGGGAACGCAAACCTTATACTCTGTGCTGAAGGAGCTGCTAACAGCAGTACTGGCAGCAGATGCTCGTGTTTAGAGACCTACATAAACAAGACCTGAAGCTTCCACTGACATTCATGGGCCAATTGTGAAGAAATCAAAAGGTAGAACGCACAGAAGTCAATGACTTTGTGAATTCAAGTCCTCTTCCAACTTTAAAATACTCAGCTTCACCTGATTTCAGAACGGAAAATTAAACTAGATGCATAAATCAGCCACCATATTGTTGTTATAGCATTCAGATTTGCACTTAACTAATTAGCAATGGTTTTCAAATCAAAATACAACACAGTCATGCCATAATCACACGCCATTACATTCATTGTCAGACGTGCAGAAAACATTTGTAATGAACTATTAGAAATACAATATTAAGAGGGAGCAGCTCTCCTGCCTCTCTTTCTGTATGAAGTCAAAGGAGTGCCACTTCTGCTTTTGAGAATTCAAGAAACCTTTGTCCATCACCTACAGATGCTAGTGCTAACAGATATAGGGTCCCAACACAGGAAAGTCAGCAGACTTTCCGGATGCCCTACTAGCCTTCTTTTGGGAAAGCCCAGAGGACCACGGGTCTCTGCATAGTTTTTTAACCTAATGGGTCATTAGTGATGTTTCCTCATAAAGAGAAAGGCTACAAAGTGCCATTTAATGGATTGCTAGGTGGGTTGTTCTACCTTTGCTCCCATCAATGAGTACTGAGCCTGCACAGCCAGAAATGAAGATTCATTCCCTCAAATATTCTGCTTTGACAGGACCAGCTGAGGAATGTTATTCTTCCGGTTTTACATCCTAAAGCAGAAACAAAACTTCTACAATTGTACTCTGTGTAAAAGTTATAGTTGTAAACTATCTGCTGAGCATCTAATAAACTATATACCAAGCATAATAAACAACCAGGATTTTAAAATTCAGAGGGGAAAAAAAGTAATCAAAAATTAGAGAAAAATGTAATTTGGGAAAATGTCTCCTCCAACTACTAACTTATTTAAATGACATGTTTTTCATATTTCATAGCATTATTTTCAATTTTTTAAATCCCATTTTCACTTCATTTTCTGTTAATTAAATATTTCCACTTGTCAGAAGAGAATAAGAGAAGCGTGAGATCAAGCCATGAACCTAAACTAATGATCTGGTATGTGCCCATTAATAAAATTAATCTACAAGCTCAGCAGGTGATCAGTCTCCAGTTGCAAAAAGTAGTTTGCTTGGACAGAGGGACTCTGCAAACGTGCAGAGCATTATGGTGCACCACAGTACTACCAGCACCACAAGGAGGTCCTTCCCTCCCAGTTGTCACTGCAACTCTGGATGACCATTACCAGTGAGGATGTAAATGGCGTGACCAGTTAATAAGGATGCAAGGCCTGAGGAAAGACTGTCAAATGAGAAACAGGATACCACAGCAACAGATATCTTCAGGCACACTGACCTGCAGGCCTTCCTCAAACATAAAAATCAGAAAAGGACATTTAGTTGAAAGAAATGTAAAGTAATTATTTTGAAGACGATATTAGAGTCCAGTGATATTTACACGTTTGTGATTTTTTCTTCAACGCTGTTTACTGCATTTTCTTTTTTAACATATATTGCAAAAATATATTATTAGTAGGATACAGATAGCAAAAAAATGTTTAAAACAAATAAGTGGAACCAAATGCTTTAATCATTTAGGCAGATAAGAGGTTGACTCTGCAAAGATTTGGGTCTGGTCCTCTGATGGAAGTCAGTGCAAGTTCCACATTCACAGCTTTAAAGTTCCCTGTAACCATATCATGCATTTGCTAAAAGGAAGCAGAGACATTGAGGTAACTCTGGGGAAATCTGTTGCATAGTTTATAAATTTGCAGGTAAATGAACTGCGTGAAAATGGAAGAAAATCATATGTAATTCTGTGTAAGATGCAGTATACTGTCAATATCCTAATACAGTACGTAATTACGGTAATACAGCAGATACAGTGAATTCTCTCATGTGAGTCCTGAATTAATAATAATCACATTTACTTCTCTTCTGAGACTTTTTAGCCCTGATACTGTCAGTAGTGGAGGCTGTACAATATACCAAATCGTGTTCATGCATGAGAGTGAGTGAATTTATCAAGCTTATTTTCAGTACTGGCATAAATTAAGATCTTACTTAAGTCAAAGCATGGTTTTACAACTATTATTACAAACCCATGTAAAATCAGGAACTTATTCACTATTACCACACTGGTTACCCAATTTACACCTTCAAATCCTAATGACACCTCAGTTTAAGTGGTAAAAATGGCCTTTGCATAGCCTTTTTGAAGAGACACTGCGTACTTCTGAAGATCTTGTCACTAACTAGAGTACTCCAGCTATTTAGGAATCTTCTTCAAAAAAAACCCGAACAAGACAACCTACAATACCTATCCTATATTGGTGGGTTGACCCTGGCCACTCAGTACACCCATCTACATGCTAACAACCGTGTGCAAGAAAACAGATGTGCAAACGTACGCTTACAAAGAGTACTGCCCCCCTGTTTGACATTCACTATTTCATTTAGCCTCCATGTCTGGAATCAGTGGATCGCTTGAAAACCTCAAAACACCACTACTCCAAAAAAAGCTTACAGAAGAAATACCAATCCCCTTTTAAGTGAACAGGATTTTTTGCAATTTGTGGACTGTACTGAGAAAATTGGGACGTATGACCCAATTACACCTTAAAGGTTCAGAAACCAATACACGGGGAAGGGGAAATCACACAGGCTAAAAAGATGTAAAGTTTGGGGTGTTTTTTTGTTTGTTTTGTTTTTATTTAATATAAGCTTTTGATCATCTGAATTTTTATTGCTTGACAGTATGGGTGGAATCAAAACATCTCTGCCCTAAAAATGCAACTTCACAAAAACATAATCGCATATGAACTCATTTAATAATTCCTAAGAGTTGCCAGGTAGCTCAGTCATTATTCTGGCAACATCTTTCAGAACAAAACACACAGCACGCTTCCTCCTTCCCTGTAAAGCTTCTGATCAGGTGCTGCAAATGCTTAAAAGAAACTGGATCTCAGAGTAAGTTAGTGCTCTTTGCCGCCCATCCTCAGGCAGCTGTGCAGCCCCTGCTCACCCCCAGATGTGTTAGAAAGCATAGGCCCTTTCAGCAGCCAAGACAGCCTATCTTCTCCATCCTGCACAGCGAAGTAGCACCATATTATTCAGATAGGTGCCAGCAGGCCACCTTCAGGGAAATCAACTTCAGTAGGGGCCCTGCAGCACCCAAACCTTTCACCATGAAAAGCTTCCTGAATCTCCCTGAGCATTCTGCAAAGTCTGCTCCCATCACTCAAAATCTTTGGAAACCTTTTCCTAATCAATTTTCTTTCACAGTGAAAAGAGGGAGAGGATGAATTATGAAATAACTTTTTGGTGAGAAATCAGTTTACCAAATTGCCAGACACAGTATGCAACTGAGGCATCACTAAGCCTCCTATCCAGTGTTCTTCCCTGGTTCAGGAGCACTTCTGCATGTTTCACTGCAATATCAGGTCCAGACAGCTTTCCCATTTCTAGTGGCTGTGCTCCTTCACACACAGCCAATAATAATTTCAATTGTTTCAGCCTCATTTTTGTGTTGGGAGATCATTATAACAGTCACTTCAAGATATGGGTCAAGTTTCTTATTGCTGTACTTGGAATACTTTCCCTGTGAGGGTGATCAAGAACTGGCACAGGTTGCCCAGAGAGATGGTGGAGTCTCGATCCTTGGGATGGTCCTGGGCAAGTGGCTCTAGGTAGCCCTGCTTGAGCAGGGAGGGGTTGGACAAGTTGACCTCCAGAGGTCCCTTCCAACCTCAACCATACTGTCATTTTGTGAAATGCTGAGTCAGATATTTAGTAACCAATCTATAACAGAACAAAGCTCCATTGCTACCCCTTTTAGATACTTTTTTTGTGTCTGCTTTTTCTTTCGCTAGCTGGCCATTAGCATTTACCTTTCTCATTTTATAGTTACTTAAAAGCAATTTGCACTCTACATATGCAAGGCCTCAACAAAACTT